TGAGAAATATTATTTTCTACTTTTTAGTCCATTTATAAAAGCGTTGTATATTAAAAAGTTTTTTTATATTATTTATTTTTTTATTATTAACAATATAACAACCAAATAAGAGCGCATTAATTTAAAAAAATAACTAATAGACTTTTAAATACGTATAGTATTATCAATACAAAAATTCATTACTTTAAAACAAATCAATGGTATTACGTATGCATGTACAGCTGTGCTCAGGAAAATAGTAGTTAAATGTATTGACAGGTTTTGAAAATTTTTTCTTTCCTTACATAATTTAATTTTTTTATAAAAATATAGTTAATTCTATAACAAAAGACATGTGAGTTGAAGTCTCAAACTTTCTAGAAAATTTATAAGAATTGAGAAAATAAAAAAAAATTTGTAGCCCATTAAGTTTCAGTAGAAGACGAGCTCGAGTCAGAATCTGTTTGCATATTTTAAGCTACAAATTTAAAACATATTTAGTTGGTGTGCTTATTAAATGCAACATTCACATTAAAATGTTGACTAAAAGGTATATTACCGAATTATCGCTAAACGAATTTGCGAGTACGAATGAAATTTAATAGTGTTAAATGTGTATGGTCGAACATCAAAAATCAAAGTAAAGCTACATATATCATATCCAAGAGTCGGTAGTTTGCACCTTTTCCAAATTTTTAGATCTTACATTGCACCGTAGCAGTAGTCGTTATAAGTTTGAAATACTTACAGCCGTATTCTCAGTGGATGTTTAATTATAATCGAAAGATTATCTCTTATTGTCATCTTCCCAGTGTACTTAATATATGATTAACTCACCACCACCTTTCATACGATTTATTAATGGCGAAACCAGCTTTTCATGTAACTCCTGTAAAACCTGCAAATCATGAAGTTGGGTTGGGTTGAATCCAAACAGTTTGTTATTTTGCGAAATCCTTGGAATCGAAACAATTGCAAGCTGACACCTTTTTATACCCGAGCGCACTTGTGCACAAGGGTATTATAACTTTGTTCACATAACGGTTGTTTGTAACAGGCAAAACGAATCGAGATAGATATAGACAAATGTATACATAAATGACCAGAATGAAAAGAGAAACCGATTAAGCGGTGACTGTCTGTCCGTCCATCCGTCTGTCTGTCCGGCCGTCTGTGCACACGATAACTCGAGTAAAAAATTAAGATATCTTAACGAATCTTGGTACGTGTACTTCTTTCGGGCGTAGGACAGATGGTATTGAAAATGGGCAAAATCGGACAATAACCACGCCTACCTCCCATATAACGGTAGTTTTCAGAAATACGAAAACTGCGATATTTTAGTAACTACTGAAGATATTTACAATAATTTTTAGACGAAAAATAAGAATATAATAAATTTTTGGAAAATGGGCGCAGCCACGCCCACTTATGGTTATATGTGTATATCTTGGTAACCGCTGCACCAATTTCTTCCAAACTTGGCACAGTTATTGGCCATGGTACAGCATACCAAATGGCCGAAAATTTTTAAAGTCGGACGATAACCACGCCCACATCCCATATAACGGTAATTTGGAGAAATACGAAATCTTCGATAAACCAGTAAATATTAAAGCTAATTTATTCAAAATTGACGCCTGTAACAATTCTTTACCAAGAAATAGGTTTATGATCAAATTTTAGAAAATGGGCGTGGCACCGCCCACTTATCATCACATATATGTATTTCGGTAACCGTTCTAGCAATTTGTACCAAACTCGGTATGGTTATTGTGTTTGCCACATAAAAGCAAAACGTTGAAAATTGTTGAAATCAGACTAAAATTGAAGCCGCTTTCCATATAACGGTAAATTCCAGAAGTGCTTGAAACTTCAATATTTCGAAATTTAAGCACGCTAATTTACTCAAAATTGATACACCCCGGCTTACCATGTAGCGGTAGCTTTCGGAAAGGTGAAAAACATATATTTAATACTTGCGCCGGGTATTTAATGTTCGGCTTCGCCCGAACTTAGACTTTCGTACTTGTTAATAATGGTTTAAATTTAATTAATGCTTTCAACCTGCTCACAGGTATGAGTTGTCAAAAACATTGTTTTGAACATGTAAACCTCAATTAAATGTCAATTACACCAATTTACAAAAGTATTAAATGTAAAAATCAGTACAAACTCAAAAAATCAGTAGATTTTGCGTACCGATTTCGGGCTCTTAAAAATCAGTACAATAGAAAAAAATCAGCACACGTACTGATTAAATCAGCGCATCTGGCCACCCTAGTGGGACCTCCCCCAACCCTGGAGCGGCTGATCTACCTCAGCCTTCGATAAAACCCACCTCATAAAGGCGTTACAGTTATGATTGAATTTTAAGCAGCAAGAACCCTATTCGGTGGGAAAAATTTTAAGGCGATTTTGGGAAACAAAGCCACTCCCATAATTTCAACAATGAAAATGATCATGCCAAAGAAAGGTTCACTATCCCATGGTTTTGGTCTTTTACACTGTAAAATAAATATTTGTGATCACCTGCTTCATAATGCTTATAAAAAAGAAGTGAAAAGGGGATGTCACCAAAAACCTAGAAGGTGCATAGCTTTTAGCATTTTTTTCAATTATTACTTATTACATCGACCGATTAGGTTATTGAGATACTAAGGCATGTAGTGAGTGAGAGATGGATTTTATACTTAATGCGTTTACAATCAGAGTGGATCAAGTAATACAAGTTAAAGGAAAGACGAACAATGGAAATCTCGGCCGAAAATTCCTTGACAGACCCCAATTCGCCAACGCTCTAGATTTTGACGTGCAGCTAGTTTGCAATCTCGCCACCATCACAAAAGTTTATAGAAGTGCGTTGGAGATTGAAGTAGAGGAACTTAAAAGGTTTAGTGATTTTACTTGTTAACTCCACTATATAAAATATCCATGGGCCCGTATGATCCCTTCCAGGCATAAAATTTTATATCTTCATCTCCATATATGTTTGGGTTTTAGTGGGTAGCCCAACACGCTTCGGTGGGAGTCCCACACTCGGGGAAGGTAGTATAGAGACTAGTGCCCCCGGCCAGTGCATAAAGCATTTCCCGCTCCAACGAAAAAAAAAAAAAATCAATCAAATATACTTAGAAGAGACCAACCAATACTTCCTATAGGACCCTGTCGCAGGGTCAATAATTATCACGATATTTGGATCGCGATCCAGATTGATGGATTGATGGATCGAGCACGACTGCTTACATGTTCAATATTTATCGCGTCAGTATTTGCATAATTTTTGTGCTGCACGCTTATGGCGCAAGAAAATATTTTTATTTTGTACGAATAATTTACAGATAATGCATTCCATAATTCTTTTAAAATTTCCAAAGTTAATTTAAATACTGTTAATTTGATTTGAGAGGTTTTAAGCTACCAAAGCGAAGCCAGGGCGAGTACGTTTTCGATGTTCGCATTATCTCATAATGTAAAAGATGTACTAACGAAATGCATGGATCGCGTTTTGAAAATGGTACACGTTCAATATTTATTGCCGGTATTGCAATCCGCGATCCAGATTTCAAAATTGCATGCTACACCGTCAATGAATATCGCGATACTTGGATCACGTTAATAAATTCTAACCGTGGAACAGGGCCCATATACCACACGAAAGGAAATAACGTTCAGTTTTTGATTAAAGAAAACAAAAGCAGAATCAGCCGAGCGGTTTTCGATCATTTTGCTAATAAAAAAATTAGATAATTTTTTCAACAGGATTTTGAATTAAAAATACAACATTTTAGCAAGGCAACCATACCGAAACGTAAGATGTATTCTACGAAAAAAAGGTGCCTAAAGCAAAAATTAGATCGGAGGACCTACACTCAAACAAATTCTTGTTCATTGGCTGAGGCAATAAATACATACGTTAAAAAAAGAAACCAAGGAATCAATCGTTTTCTAACAATAGTACCTACATATAAATTTGCATTTTCTCAAAGGGGTTGGCACAAAAAATAAAATTAGCACCATTATAAATAAAGGCGAGGCCGCTGTGTTCTAGTGGGTAGCAGTGCGCGCTACCATTCCACAGGACCTGGGTTCCCAGTTTCTAGTGATGTACTGAATTGTCGGTACCCAATACTTAAAAGATTTCGGTACCCAATACTTCCTTTTCGGTACCCGATACCGATCCTTTACATTAAACCTTCGCCATTGTATGCATTTCAAGTTTAGAAAAAACTTTCATTACTAATTTATATAACATCGGCTAAAACACTTGAACTTATCGCAAAAGAGAAATATTATTTTATCAGTTTTAACCTTAGTCGATCCAAGGTTCAAGAAAAATGCTTTGGCGGATGAAGAAGCCTTTCAGGAGGGAGATTGTGTAACCAGTTAGCGACAAGTTTCGGATCGATATCGCACTTGTTGACGTAAAAATATTTCATATCATACGTCAGCAAAACCGATACCGATTCGAAAATTGTCGCTAACTGGTTACAGAATCTGCCCCCAGGCCTACAAAAATGATATCGTTCGATTCAGCTGGAACAAAAATGCTTCAAACAAGTAAGAGTTTCTCTACATTATGGCCTCGAACCGACATATATACATCTTTCATTTGAATCAGTATTAAAAGCTCTATTGGCTCCTACATTCGGTTTTTGATAGGCGAGTCTCCCCTGAACGGTTTTTTCCATATTTTTGGCCTATGTGCGCTTTTATTCGAAACCTAAATATTTCGGTACCGAGTATCGAGAGTATTGGATACTTTTTAAATCGGTACCGAATATCGATCAATACTTAAAAGTATTAACTCAGCACATCACTACCAGTTTCCGAACAACATCAAAAAATAATCAACAAAAAAGCTTTTTTCTAAAAAAAGTGTGTAGACCACAAATCGCTTATTTTTCAGGTGAAACCAAATGGGCTTGTGCAGAAATTTGATATGCATGTGTATATATATATATGTATACATATTACTATTATCCTAAAAATACTTATATATACATATATTGTTTTTGTAGAATATGAGATGAATCAAAGAAGATACTATGACGAAGCTAACAGACGTTTGGAGGCGAATATTCAAAGCTTGCTCAACCAGACTGGCTTATCTGAAGTTAAACGAACTGATCTCAGTGATGTAGTTATTAGCTTTGCTATATAGAGCTAATGCATCCACGGCTTCTCGTATCAAGAAGTTTGCCTATGACACCGCATTTCAAGCGATTATCGAAGCTTTAAATTAACAAATATTGTATACATATATATGTACATCTATGTACTTATTACAAAAATTTAACAATTACACCTAAAAATTTTAAAGTTTTTATTAAAAATGTTTAGGTATTAAGTTTTATAGTCTAATAAGTTTTAGTAGGTTAAAGTGTAAATTTCAAGGCGCTAGGCAATCGCATTGATTTTTAATAATTTTTTTGGCTAACGGTTTTGTGGATTTTCTTCCATATAAAGCAGAGGTTCCCAAACTTTTTTTTTCGTATACTCCTTTCAACAACTCACTGGTTACGGTGTAACCCCTGCTGATACATTTCTAAATATTATCAAAGCTCGTAAATAAATGAATGTGAAGATTAGATCTAACTATGTAAATTTGCATCGCGGTGAATTCAAAAACTAAACTCGGAGTGGCCAAAGAAAACCTAAAATATTTTCTTTCTTTTATTTTTTATTTCTATTTATTTAAATTATGCGGTTACACACTTCCAGGTTTTGAAAAATAGAACTCGTAACTCCATCAAAATACTCTCTCGCTCTGAGGAGTTATATTTTTTAAGAGCACTTCGAGCCCGAGCGTTATTTACATTATCTTCACCATAAACTTATCAAATGTTCGTCTCACTCATGACTTTGTACGTGGAGTATTTGTTAAATAGTTTGTTTGTGTTGATGGCATCATTTATATTTTTATAGCTCCGAGTTTTAAAGTAAGGCGAAAAATATTTATCACTCACATTTTTAAAACAGAAAACTTAAAACAACAAAACGGCCAAACTTTTACTTCAGAAACTGAGAGTAGAAAAAAGAACGAGTCTAGAAAAATTGATGACAAACAACCAAGCAAGCAAGAAGCACAAAAAGTGTTCCACCGTCTCATCCTCTTCAAGGCAGGATGGGCAAATGGACTTGTCATTTACGCCTATCACAGTCAGGTGTTTGTGCCACGTGAAGTGACCAGTCCGCAGTCCAACAAGTTGTCTGCGGTGTCGTCTGCTCAGTGAAAGCAAAAAACTAGATAGACCTTCTGAGATTGAATGATTGATGAGTTTACCCACCTGCATCCCCTCGATTCCTTCCAGTCATTTCTGAGCGAAGTATTCACCGAGTTTCTGATGGTTGCTTTGATGGCCGAAAGTGGGCGTGCTAAAACTGGTTGCGGGCCGAAGAGTGCCTAGTCTAAGCTAATTCTGGCCAAATGGTCAGATGTCTCATTACCAGGTACTCCTGAGTGATCTGGTACCCAGAGTAAAGCAAGCTCGTTATGTTTACCACCGTAATTTAGTCGATACTTGCATTGCTGAACTAGTTTGGAAGTAGTGAGAGGGCTGGCCAATGCCTTAAGTGCAGTTTGGTTGTCACTGCAGACACGTAAACTCCTTCCCATCCACCTATGTTCCACCGCGTAGTCTATGGCTTTGAGGATTGCAATTACCCCAGCCTGGAGGACCGAAGCATATTCCCCAACAGAAAAGTGAAGCTTATCCCCATGAACTTCGAAAAAGACCCCAGATCATGACCCAGAGTGAGTTTAGGAGCCATCAGTGAAGATTCGACAATGTGTGAGTCCGATATCAGTGATGGAAGTAAACCAGCATTCAGTCTCAGGGAACTCCACATTATAGAATCTCCTCAACGAAGGTAATACTATCCTGTAGCATTGAAAATACACAAGTGCTTAAATCTCTGCCGCCAGCACTTTCCGCCGCGCCCTACTCAGTGTTATACCAACATCCGGTTCTTTTTAGTTTGCAGGTGGCCTTTAAAGGTTTCCCACGTATGAAAACACAGAGTGACGGTAAGTGCAGCAGTGCGTCAAGAGTAGTGATGGGTTTACCCAACGCTGGGTATTTACCCATTAATACCCATTTTCGTACCCGGGTATTTACCTAATTTCGGGTAGATATTCATTGAATAAAATTTGTGTAGCCTGGATCTAAAAACTCTACAATTTTTATGAAAGTTATGTATAATGGCGGCCGCTGTGGAATAGTGGTAAGCAGTGCGCGCTTACACTCCGCAGGGCCTGGGTTCAATCCCTGGTCAAAGCAACATCGCAAAAATATAGAAAAAAGGTTTTTTTTTAACAGCGGTCGCCCCTCGGCAGGCAATAGCCCATCTCCAAGTGTATTTCTGCCATGAAAAACAGCTTATCATAAAAATACAATCGCCGTTCGGAGTCGGCGTAAAAATGTAGGTCCCTCCCCTTTGTGTTGCAACATCAAGGCGCACGTCACAATTAGGAGAAGAAGCTCGGCCAAGCACTAACATATGTGTAAGCGCCAATCTATTATTATTATTATGTATAAATAAGTAGACCGGGCAATATATATGTCCAAAGTAGTGAGTATATATGAAAAATATAGCCAGAAGTATTTTCGAAGTTACGGAGCATTCTTCATATCAAAAAATGTTTAAAACTTAAATATCAGAAATAGAAAGCAGCGGAAGTGGCAAAGAAGTTTCATGCTCACATTGCGAAAAGTGGTAAAAATTTTCGAACATAAACAAAATGGCAAAACATTTAACAACTAGTGTTAAGTGTCTCTTATTATTAAAGCAGCGATTTCAAGACATGCTTGCAACCGATTTGGTAACGCCCAAAATACGGACAGCAAAAGATTATCCAACACCATCTGATTTCATTAGGCACCTTCCTTCCAACTCGGCACAATACAAATTAGCTAAAGCCATTTTTGTAACCGGCGCTCCTTTGGCTATGGTGAGACATCCATTGTGGAATGATCTTTTTAAGGACCTCAATCCATTTTTAAAGGCTCCGACCAGAAAAGCTAATTCCTCCACATATTTGGATAAAATCTATAAGGAGATGAGTACGTACATTAATCAACAATTAAAGGTAGCAAACTTTTTGCATATTCAGTGTGATGGATGGAGTAACATACGCAATGAAGGTGTTGTAAACTTCCTCATATCAAAGCCTGAAATTGTTTTTGGGAAAAGTTTGCCAACACAGGCAAATCGACATACAGCTATCACAGGAAATTATTAAAATCATGGAGGAATACGGCGAGCAAAAGTTTTTCGTGATAATTGGTGACAATGCTGCAAATGTGCAAAAGGCGTTCAAAATAGTTAAAGAAGCTCATCCAAATGTGGTGCCTGTGGGTTGTGTTGCACATAGCCTTCATTTAATTTGCCTGGAGTTTTTAAAGCTCGATACCTTGCAAAAGAGTTACTCTTCAGTTGTAAAAATATTCAAAACAATAAAAAATAGTCAAGTCCTTACAGCAACTTTAGCTAAAATTGTGGAAGAAAAAGGAATCGGTGAACAATTAAAACTGTCAGCCAAAAACAAGATGTGGAAGCTTCTTCTATTCAGTGAATAGTATAATGAAAACTAAAGTATCCCTTCAGATTTTAGCAGTACATGAAAACGTTAATATACAAGCCAATATAAAATGAGAGCTACTTGGCGAAGTGTTCTGCGAGCAATTGAATTTAAGCTCAAACATTTTTGGCTGCATTGCAGGATGGATTTGTAACCTCGAGTCAAATGAATACAATATACACAGGGTATATTTCGCGTTTAAAGATATCAAAAGTAATCTTGAGTTGGAGTTATCGACAACTTCGATATTGAATGATGCCGAAAAACCGAGCTTACAAAATATTCAATGCACGATTCAAAAAAACTATAAAACCGATACATTTAGCTGCAAATTTGTTAGACCCTAAGGCACAAGGAAGTGACCTCGATTAGTCTGAAGAGTTAGACGGATTAGAATTTGTTTAAGCGATTTCGCAGACACTGAACATAAAAGTAATGCCAGATTTTGCCAATTATAAAGCCAAAGATGGTTTCTGGGCAAAACCTTTTGTCTGGAGCTCTTTGTCTGAGATATCTCCAGTTACGAGGTGGAAAGGAATTTGTGGTAGCACGCAATTAAGTAAATTAGCTGTCGGAATCCTGACAGCTCCATGGACCCCTGGGGGTCCACCTGGACCACTTTGGGAATCACTGATATAAAGTATGCTCGACAATTACTTTAATATTGAATAAAAGGCCTAAAACCGTCAGCAAAAAAAATAATAATAATAAAAATCAATGTGATTTTCTAGCGCCTTGAAATTTACACTTTAACCTACTAAAATTTAATGGGCTATAATTTTTATAAAAAATTTTGATAAAAAATTTAAAATTTTTGGGTATAATTGTTAAAGTTTGATAAATTATATTCAACAATTTATATTGAGCTCGAGGCCGTTTTTTAAATGAAAATTTATTTATTGTTGCTTTTCAACAATAAATTTTCATTTAAAAAACGGCCTCGAGCTCAATATAAATTGTTGAATATAATTGTTATAAGGCCAAAAAATAACAAAAAACAAACTTTGATAAATTTTTATAAATGTTATAAGAAGTTTGACATTTGGATTTATGTGGTGCTGGTAATGTGATGCGCCAGAACTAAAAAAAAAAAATTATAATCATTAAATAAATAAAAAAAAGCCAAAACTTTTCAAAATGTCACTTAACTTAATCAGCTGACCACAAGGGTGTGTTAATAAATTTATCGCAAAAGCGTTTTCAGCAATTGTTATAATTTCGATTCACTACGAAACTTTCATAACGGCCACATACCCGAATTCATAAACAAAATAACTAAGACACTCTTCACACGGGTCGTATAGGTTTAGACGCGTACTCGATTTTCATGCAGCGACGATTCCTCTACGCCTTAAGATCTGAGCAGGAAGCGAATTCCAAGCGTCAAAGTAAAAGATGCAAAAATGTCAAGTGATGAAAAAATATTTGTTTTTTAATTAATTTGAATATTATATTATTATTATATTATATTGTATTATTGTTTCATCTATCAATTTCATAAAATACATGCTGGCACACGGGAAATTGTAAAAAACTTCTTTCTCATTACTAAGCTTACGCTCCCTGCAGGGAAACCGCGA